TTATTCCGGGGATCAACGCCCCCGCGGCCCGGTCCATGACCAGGCCTTCCGATGGATCAGGGCCTGATCAACTAGGCTGTTACTGCTGGCCGCACGCAGTCCAACGTACGAGCCACAGCCCGGCTGATCCGGCACTGACTTTAGGTATCTGTCCAGCTCTCTCTTGAAGGCAGCCAGGGGTTTATTGGCAATTCCCCTAATGCTTGATGGGAGGCTGTTGAACAGTTTTGGGCCCCGGACACTAACCAAACATTAAGACATTTATTAGAAAAAGTTTCGGTCCTGGGACCTTGATCAAGGTCCCAGGACCGAAACGAGTTTGATCATGTGTTTTTCTAAACGAATGAGAAGTGTATTTCTCAGTGTAAATATAATGATCGTTTACTTGTAACCATAATTTAGGGATAATAGTATTTTTGTCTGGTTTTGAACAGGTTATATGTAGCCTTAATGACCCTCGTGGCGTATTATCCTCAGTACGATAGAAAGTATTGTTGCAGAGCTAGTTGTTCTGACTGGTTACATACATAGTTTTTAAAGAGGTGGACCGGTAAGCCAGGGAAAGGCCTCGGTCAGATGACCAAAAAGCTCCAGCTGCGGGTCATCATATGACTAAGACCGGTGTCAGTAAACACTTGTACTGTTTCCTAGAAAACCTTACCTAGTTCTACAGGGTGAAACGTTATTCTGCAACGTTTCTTTACGTCGCCTTGGCACTTTAAAGTGGGTGAAGTTGACACTTGAAGCTGCACTTCTCGGACCTAGATCACTTTCGTATCATTTACCTTCTTACTATAGTTCAAACTGGCATCATAATATATAGTTGATAAACTAAGATCCTTCGATAATTTACAATAAGAAATGAGCGCTAGGAAGATTAAAATAGAAAAGCAGATGGTTGGTGAGAGTGGAGTATGTGACCCAGTGTAAAGCAGAACCACAAGTGTCTTACCTGCTTCTCCTCTACCTAGCATGGCTTCTCATAGCCCCGCTCGTGGCATGTATTGTGGAATCCTCACTTCATACATTAATACACCATACAACTTTTGTGACAGCCCTTGTGCAATCGCCACTATGTATATCTACACATCGTGGCACACTTGTATCAGGCCTTGTGTTGTAGGATCGTCACCAATTACAGCAACAATACTTTCACAGCTAAAAACCACAGGCATCAACCACGTATAAGGCTGCGTTTCACTTTTCTCAATTACCTGAATGTATCAGTCACTTACGAATCATTTGGTTTATCCATAATACTCACGAGACACTTTTTAACACTTTACAAAAAGACAGATCCAGACTCTCCTTGTTGCTTCTTACACAAACAATCGCCCACAGTTATTAAGATAAAACTGACAAGAGACCAGGCAACAATAAGCATATGGAGAGCCTAGTCTCCGGCACACCCTGCACTGCCTGTAGATTCGTCTATGAAGTCCTAAGACAAACTACCTCTAGCGAGGTGGCATTAAAAAAAAAAAAAGACTAGTGTGGGTGGAGCAGGAGCAACACACCACTCACACATACACCCGCCATCCAACAACTACCGCTACGGTCTTGTTCCACGCTCGATTCATCAAAGCAAACAGTGACTGGCGATACATTTCCGCTCAGAGGCGCCCCACATTAACAGCCATCTTCGCTGAGCATTCGACATTACCGCCATTCCAGAAGCAAATACCATTCACAATTTCAAGAGTAGGTATAAGAGTCCAACAAACCAGGAACCGATAATGCTGGTAGATTGAAATTTGAGTCAGGGTCAACTGAGACTTGACTCCCGCAAACATTGCTCGTGGAACACAATTCGTCTTCACAGCTTCGTATACAAATTTGTACAACATCTAAGTTCGTGACCACCGTCCGAGGCTTCTCGGCGCATTATAACACTCACAAACTTCTCTTTCTTAGCCAGAGAAACGAAAATATGTGGAGGAAGGTAGAGCCAGCAAAGTTCTTGTAGCACTGCCAAGGGATGGGAACGATGGGGAGGGCGGGGTTGCTTTCCAAACTCACCACGCTTATGACCACACGCACATGTACACGCACATAACCACAAGCACATGTACACGCACATGGCCACACTCACATGACCACACGCACACGACCACGCACACGATTCCCCGCACCACGCACATAGCCACACGCACAACAATGAACTAGGAAATATGAATGCTGATTACACACTAATTGTCATGTTGATATGTGGAGCATCTTGGATGGTATTCAGAGAAGGAGGGCAGAGTGGCTGGCTGTCTGTAACAACTAACTGGCTCAAGTTGATCACAAGAATGAGGAAGGCAGACCTACACACACACACACACACACACACAATAGCTCCACATGTAACGAGTGGCTGACAACGTTACACCTTGAGGCCACGCACACAATGACACTCAAGTCATTATATATATATATATATATATATATATATATATATATATATATATATATATATATATTATATATTATATATATATATATATAATATAATAATGCTTTAATCCACTCGGCCATCAATGCTGAACACATCAGGTGGCCAGTACCACTAAGCATGTCACCCCTGATGTCAACACATACATGGTCATGGAAGCTACAGGACTAATTTCATACTCATCCTGTTTGGAATAGCAATCTTTCGGTCCTAGTCGGACCGAAATGCAGTCATAAGTTTCATTCTATGTGCGGGTTATTTGTGTATTGTTCCAATCACGGTATTGTGGTTTTTTTTTATTCTAAAATATATGTATGCTAACACTGCAAATTTAACTTGAATAAAACTGCCGATAAATATCGTTAAGTGAGAATCTTCAGTGTCACACAAACCTTGTGGTTCTCTTTATTAAGCTGTATAGCCCTTGTGGCTTAGCGCTTCTTTTTGATTATAATAATAATCTCTTTACTGAGTTATTCAAGACCAATGTAAAAATAATTGTACTTCACGTAAGCAAAGCTTAAATGAAAATTTACACGTTACTGGGTAAATTTAAGTTGACTATATTTTACGAGTCACCCATCACACAATTTTCTTTGCAGGGAATTTAATTGTAAGCGTAACTAGTGTTTCGTGGGCACTTGATAGTATGTCTTGGTCTAAAAAATTTACCTATGCTCCTCTTCGTTGGATTGAGCCTGAACGTTTACCATTCCCCTTGGTGTTGTATGACTCCTGCGGATTTAGCGCTCGCTCCCCATGAATGTTATTTTATTTAGGCACATGTGCACATAAGTACAATTATCATAAACAGTGTAAATTACCTAAGATAACCCCAAAAAAAAGTCTTCAGCAGCAGCAGTCGGAATAAAGACGCCTAAATGTTGTCTATGTGTCTAACTTACCGACTTATTTCCATTGGGATCCTTCAACCATCTTACCAATTCAACCTTAAAAGTTAAAAAACGAAGTATAGAATTAATGGGGCCCCGTGGCGTGGCTGGCAAAGCTCTTGCATCACACGCTGAGGGTCCGGGTTCGATTCCGGGAGGGGTGAAAACTTTGGACGCGTTTCCTTACACCTGTTGTCATGTTCACTTAGCAAATAGGTACCTGGGTGTTAGTGGACTGGTGTGGATCGCATCCTGGGGGACAAGATTGAGGACCACAATGAAAATAAGACAGTCGATGACGCACTGCCTTTCTTAGGTTATCCTGGGTGGCTAACCCTCCGGGGTTAAAAACCCGAACAAGATGTTAAGTAACGTCTTGGTCTTGCTTTTTTTCCCCATGAAATTGTACTCGTGTTAACTAGTTAAGGGTCTAGCCCTGAGTCTTTTGTAGTTACATATGCTCCTGCGCTAGAGTCCACAGACTGAGTCTGATACACTGACAAGTTTCCAAGATAAATTAGACACATATGCAACTCTTGGGTATCTCCTCATTAAAGATACCCAAGAGTTACCTGGAGGTTACCTAGAGGTTATTCCGGGGATCAACGCCCCCGCGGCCCGGTCCATGACCAGGCCTCCCGATGGATCAGGGCCTGATCAACTAGGCTGTTACTGCTGGCCGCACGCAGTCCAACGTACGAGCCACAGCCCGGCTGATCCGGCACTGACTTTAGGTATCTGTCCAGCTCTCTCTTGAAGGCAGCCAGGGGTTGCACATGTGTCTAATTTATCAACGTGTCGGTTCTCTGAACCATTCATCTACAAGTTTCCAAGAGTCAGTGTTACTCTTGGTTCACCAGGCTGTTGTTGTTGCTGCTGCTGCTGCAGACATGTGTGCACCCAGCTGTGTTTATTGAAAGACTTCCCTTGCACAGCAGGTCTTATGTCTAACAGAGGCATCTACAACTCCATTGCTAAATCTATGGCGAACCTTAACGGCATGATCTACTTCCACTAGTGGGCCCCGCCCATATGTGACCATCTCTTCAACTGATGCATCTCTCTACTTCGTCCAATGGCTTCAATTTAAGTTTTTAAAAGTTTCCATCCTCACGAATCAGAATTACATTGACAAAGCCTCCCTTGAAGGGGAATTATTACTCATGGGAGAGCACGAAACTCACAGGGAAAGGGAGACATTCAGATTCGGTCCAAAGAAGGTACATCGGGCCAAATTCCTTGGATCAAGAGCCCCGCATCAGCATCAAGGCGCCTCCCTTGAGTGATAAGAAGGCGAAATGTCTCTCAATAAAGATACAAAAGAGTTGCACATGTGTTTTATTCATCATCTTGTTGGTATACCTTTAATGTAATAATCCAGGCTGTTGGTGCTAGCAACCCGCAGACTAATATAACAACTTGGTTGATCAGCAACTTTCAGCATGTGATGATCCAGTTCCCTCTTTAAAACTCAATAATAATTCAGACACTAACAGCAGAGTCTGGGGTGTATGTAATGGTGAATAAGTGTGTGTGACTAGTTAATATTCCAAGTCAGAGCGAAACATCGTCATAAGTTTCTCTCCTAAGTGCTGGTTATTTATGTATTGTTCCAGTCACAGTATTGTGACTTTTACTGTTTAAAAGAGTGTAGAAGTTGTGGTACTGACCTGGATGACGGATCTCGTAAGTGTGTAGGTCGATACACTTGTCCTTACACACCATGGTGAGCACGTCAGAGATGAGAGTCTTGGGAGGTACACGGTACACAGCCAGCTGGTTGCGAGGCAGGTTCACCTGTACCACACACACACAAACATACATAAATTAATCATTTATTAGGTAACCAGGTGTACTTAATTCAATAATACAGAACATGCCACACAGGGGCGGAAATTTTGAGCTGAAGATTTCCATCCCCGTGTGGATTGTCCTGCCATTGTTTCATTAATTCTACAAAATTCATTATAAGAACGAAATGACACTATAACCAATTGTTATTAATGTAAAAAGTCAACGAAACGATTCGTTTTTTATTTAAATACAATAGTTCACCCCAATTAAAATATGCACCATATTTCCGCACCAATACTTTCATTAATTTTAAATATATTTATAACGATTATTTTTAATGGTGTTGATAGATAATTAGTATGTTATGAGAGAGAGAGTTATGGGATCATGCAGTAGTTGTTTATGGATGTTAGTGTATGGGTGAGTGTATACTAGGTGTGTGTACATGTATGGGTGTGAGTAGCATGCCAGTACACATGTATGGTAGTTACCACAAGCTGTTGACGGTAGACGTATTCCTTAGGCTGCAGTGAATGAAGCACATGAGAAAATGAACAATACACATACCGAACAATACACATACTCACTGAACAATACACATACCGAACAATACACATACTCACTGAACAATACACATACCGAACAATACACATACTCACTGAACAATACACATACCAAATAATTCACATGCTGAACAATTCACATACTGAAAAATACATACTAAATAATACATACTGGACAATACACATACCGAACAATAAATACTAAAAATACACATACTGAACAATGCATACTGGACAATACACATACTGAACAATGCATACTGGACAATACACATACTGAACAATGCATACTGGACAATACACATACTGAACAATGCATACTGGACAATACACATACTGAACAATACACATATTGAACCATTCATAACGAACAATACACATAGTGAGCAATATACATACTGAATAATACACTCATTAAAGTATAAATCCCAGAGTAATACACATTGAAGACTACACTAACGTTGTAATATTGTAACACTGAAACACTATTGAACTCTACTGAATAATAAACAATACCTGCACTAATATATTACTGCGACTATATTACCATATATTAGTCAAGAAATGTGAATCTATTAATAAAACTATTATTGGGCCCACGAACGAGTGGTATTGATCAATAACAACACTGCGACTAGCCAATGCTGCTTTGGCCTGCCTCATGGTGGGTGTAAACTCATGACGCCTTAATCCACTGGACTGGTCCAGTGGCAGGCCAAAGCAGCATGGGTTCGAGTCCTTGGCTAGTCGCAGTGTTGTTATTAATAAAACTATATACGATTATATTAAATATTTAAATACTATTGAATAAGATTACCTAATATCAACACATTAGTTCATACACAGGACATTGTGTAGTTCAGCTGGGCTTGTGAGGTCTCTGGGGAGACCTAATTTAACCAATTATATGGTCACACCTGCCTTAGCAAATGTCGGGTAGTCACGCCCACGTCTGAGGTCTTTTGTTCTTGACGGCGTCAGACCTCGGCGTCAGGTCGTAACACGTGGTACATACCCCATTGGGGAGGGGGTACTTTGACTACCATATAAGCCCAGGGAACAGCTGAGCAAGGAGGTTGTTGGTGACAGGTCCGGGGAGCGAGAGCTCTGTGTAGTGGACCACGCATTGGGAATCTCGGGTCAGCTGGTCGGTGAATTAAGAGTGAGTACTAGTCCGTGTTACTGATAACATCTACCTTTCCCCCTGGTAATAAGTCTCATAGGTCAATTGTTATATTATGTAAATGTCCATCAGTATATGTGGTATTCTAGCCCTTTTATGTTATTAAGTAAACTATAGCCATAGTTCCCATTTTTTTTATTTTGTACCTCCATATGCTATTCCCTATTCTGTTAAGCACTGGGATGCACAGGAGACGTGCTCACTCGCTGGGATACCTCAGGTAGAGTGGGTAGAAGTCTCACAACATATACACCGAGAGGTGTATGTCCTCAGGGTATATATACCCTTTGAGGGGTACATATACCCTTTGAGGGGTATATATACCCTTTGAGGGGTATATATACCCTTTGAGGGGTATATATACCCTTTGAGGGGTATATATACCCCTCACAGGGGTGTATATATATATACCTGAGAGACAGTCAATCCTTAAGTTAGGCTAAGAAAAATTCGTCAGGAAACAGGACAAGTGTTTCCTGACGCGGGTCTTAGATGATGACCCGCAGTTGGAGCTTTTAGTCATTTGACTGAGGCCTTCCGCTGGCTTCCCGGTCCACTCCTTTAAAAAATATGGTCATAGTTATAACCATTTCTTACAGTTAATCCTTATTTTAGGCGTTAAAATATACATGTCTAATGATGAAAATGTGACATGCAGCCTTAATAACCCTAGTGTGGTCGATAGGCTTTAAACCTCATTAACTAACCTCGTATCAATATAGGCCTCTCTTAGGTGTTCAGATTTAGGCTACCTAGAATTATTGCCCAGCCTCCCACATACCACTACCATCTAGGCACTCTTAAGTTAGGCTACCTCAGTCTTCACAACACAGCCACGCAGAGAAATTAATAGTAACTGATGAGATTAATAATGATTTATCTTCTGTAACTGTGTATTTTATTAAGTTTTACTAACTCTCTTTACTATCTGACATTATTTGAAACAGTATAGTCTCTGCACACAACAAACTACGCTATAATGAGGACACAACAAACTACGCTATAATGAGGACACAACAAACTATGTTATAATGAGGACACAAACTATGCTATAATGAGGACACAAACTATGCTATAATGAGGACACAGCAAACTATGCTATAATGAGGACACAAACTATGCTATAATGAGGACACAAACTATGCTATAATGAGGACACAACAAACTATGCTATAATGAGGACACAAACTATGCTATAATGAGGACACAACAAACTATGCTATAATGAGGACACAAACTATGCTATAACGAGGATACAACAAATTATACTATAACGAGGACACAACAAACTATGCTATAACGAGGACACAACAAACTATGCTATAACGAGGATACAACAAACTATGCTATAACGAGGACACAACAAACTATACTATAACGAGGACAACAAATTGTGCTATAACGAAGCTACGTGCAATATTTCAACTGTGTTTAGGTCCTCAGTGTGAAAACCAGCACATAATTAGCTAGTTAAGTGCACGCTATCTAGTACCAGAAGAACTCGGGAAACAAAAGAGTCACGGTAAGTATTCCACTTTTTTCCAGTCGTGTGAACTGGCACGCCAACTCTCCAAAGAATTTAATTATGAAATTTGAAACGTGGAATTGACAACTCTGGATAACATGCGTGAATCTATTTGATGCAAAATAGCATAAAAAAGAGTAGATTAAATAGTTCAGAGTCATGACCAGAATTGCAAATGGAATGCAACTTCACTCACCTCTTTTCTTACCATTTAAACCAGCACTAAATTGAAGCATATAATTTCTTAATATTTTGTGATTTAAAGAGGAAAATAAGGTGTAAAGACAAGCAGATGAGAAATATACAGTTAAATAAGACGTAAGATAAGTAAGGCAGCAGAGAGAGAGAGAGAGAGAGAGAGAGAGAGAGAGAGAAGTACTGGATAGTTTAAGTCCAGACGACTCAGGGCCAAACCCATCATACTAGGTTAAGATGTTACCTGATACCTTAATCTAGTATCATCCACACACCTGACACTTTTATCCTAATATCACTTGACACCTTAACCTAGCATCACCCCACACACCTGACACCTTAACCTAGTATCCCCTCCCCACACACAGGACACCTGAACCCAGGATCGCCCCTCCATACCTGACACCTTAAGTGTCGCCCCTCACCTTACACTTTAACGTAGTGTCACCTCATCTTACACTTTAACTTAATATCACCCCCTCACCTTATACCTAACACCTTGACCTAGTGTCTCCCCTCTCCTTACATCTCAACCGCCATCCCTCACTTGACATCTTAGTCTAGTGTTACCCCTCAGGAACTATGTACTCTCCTGACCTGCACCTCAGGAACTATGTACTCTCCTAACCTGCACCTCAGGAACTATGTACTCTCCTGACCTGCACCTCAGAAACTATGTACTCTCCTGACCTGCACCTCAGGAACTATGTACTCTCCTGACCTGCACCTCAGGAACTATGTACTCTCCTGATCTACACCTAAGGAACTATGTACGCTCCTGACCTACACCACAGGAACTATGTACACTCCTGACCTGCACCTCAGGAACTATGTACGCTCCTGACCTGCACCTCAGGAACTATGTACTCTCCTAACCTGCACCTCAGGAACTATGTACTCTCCTGACCTGCACCTCAGGAACTATGTACTCTCCTGACCTACACCTCAGGAACTATGTACTCTCCTGACCTACACCTCAGGAACTATGTACTCTCCTGACCTGCACCTCAGGAACTATGTACTCTCCTGATCTACACCTCAGGAACTATGTACGCTCCTGACCTACACCTCAGGAACAATGTACACTCCTGACCTGCACCTCAGGAACTATGTACGCTCCTGACCTGCACCTCAGGAACTATGTACTCTCCTAACCTGCACCTCAGGAACTATGTACCTCCTGACCTGCACCTCAGGAATATGTACGCTCCTGACCTACACCTCAGGAACTATGTACTCTCATGACCTGCACCTCAGGAACTATGTACGCTCCTGACCTGCACCTCAGGAACTATGTACTCTCATGACCTGTATCTCAGAAACTATGTACGCTCCTGACCTGCACCTCAGGAACTAATGTACCTCCTGACCTGCACCTCAGGAACTATGTACGCTCCTGACCTGCACCTCAGGAACTATGTACCTCCTGACCTGCACCTCAGGAACTATGTACGTCTCCATGACCTGCACCTCAGGAACTATGTACTCTCATGACCTGCACCTCAGGAACTATGTACGCTCCTGACCTGCACCTCAGGAACTATGTACGCTCCTGACCTGCACCTCAGGAACTATGTACTCTCCTGACCTGCACCTCAGGAACTATGTACGCTCCTGACCTGCACCTCAGGAACTATGTACGCTCCTGACCTGCACCTCAGGAACTATGTACGCTCCTGACCTGCACCTCAGGAACTATGTACTCTCCTGACCTGCACCTCAGGAACTATGTACGCTCCTGACCTGCACCTCAGGAACTATGTACTCTCATGACCTGCACCTCAGGAACTATGTACGCTCCTGACCTGCACCTCAGGAACTATGTACGCTCCTGACCTGCACCTCAGGAACTATGTACGCTCTGACCTGTCACTCAGGAAACTATGTACGCTCCTGACCTGCACCTCAGGAACTATGTACCCCACCCTGCCCTCAGAACTATGTACTCCTGACCTGCACCTCAGGAACTATGTACTCTCATGACCTGTATCTCAGAAACTATGTACGCTCCTGACCTGCACCTCAGGAACTATGTACCCTCATGACCTGCACCTCAGGAACTATGTACTCTCATGACCACCTGACTATACCTCAACCTGCACCTCAGAACTATGTACGCTCCTGACCTGCACCTCAGGAACTATGTACCCTCATCACCTGCACCTCAGGAACTATGTACGCTCCTGACCTGCACCTCAGGAACTATGTACTCTCATGACCTGCACCTCAAGAAACTATGTACGCTCTGACTGACCTCAGGAACTATGTACTCCTCATGACCTACCTTTTTCTCATTCTTACTCTTAAGTCATTACCTCTCACCTCTTCCTATGTCTCCTTACCTAGCTTTCTCTATGCTCCTCTCCTGCCTTTCCTCAATTCTTCCTCTCCTTTCCTATCTCCTCTCCTCCTTCTCTCTCCCCTCCTACCTTTTTCTCCTTGTCTTTCCTCTTATGTCTTCCCTCTCCTGCCTTTCCTCTTATGTCTTCCCTCTCCTGCCTTTCCTCTTATGTCTTCCCTCTCCTGCCTTTCCTCTTATGTCTTCCCTCTCCTGCCTTTCCTCTTATGTCTTCCCTCTCCTGCCTTTCCTCTTTCCTTCTGACTTAATCTCTTTCCCTTGTCTTACTCCCCCACTTCACTCTCCCTGCCTCACTTGTGCTTGTCTTCTTTCCGTACCATACTTGTCTTTCCTTGCTTGACTGGTGGCAGCTTACCTTGAGGCGGATGTTCTTCTCGATGGCTTGCGTGAGATGATGCGCTCGTCTCTTCCTAGCTTCCTCGTTCATCTTGTTCTTGGCCACGATCTGGATCAGGCTGGTGTCCAGGGTCCCTGATCAAATATCATAATCATCATTATCAATAAAAAACAATAGTAATAAAGTGTGTAAGTGGTCAAAATCTGTGGTCCAAGACTATTCAGCCTGCTACCAGATGATAATCTAGACTGCATAGCCCTTGTGGCTTAGCGCTTCTTTTTGATTATAATAATAGACTGCAGGAACAAGTGTATAAGTTATCAACAAAATTGGATCATTACCTCCGACAACCAAGCTGTGATGCATATGTGGGCTAGCGGCCTGCCAACATTAAAAGCTTGGCTGAATAGGCAATCAGCAAAAAATACTGGCCTCAGACCTGACTGCAAGGGTAGAATGACTCGAGACTGGTCACAGGTATATCACAAGTAAGCTTCATGTACAGTTTTTAGAGTAGGCTTAATGGGGCTTAAGAATCCAGAAATGAGTAATGCCGGTTGACGAAGCTTAACAGGTGAGACATGGACCTAGAACTCGATTCCCCTAATCCAGGGGTGGGGAACCTGCGGTTTTCTAGGGCATTAAGTGCAGTCTTTTGAATGTCCCGTAGCTTACAAACCGAGGTCCGGAGTTCGAATCTCCGGTACGGCTGGAAAACATTAGGACGTGTTTCCATAAGACAGCTGCTGTCTCTGTTCACCCATCAGTTTAAAATAGGTACCTGGGTGTTAGTGGACGGGTGTGGGTCGTATTCTGGGACAAAACTAACCTAATTTGCCCGAAATGCTTTGCATAACAAGTGGCTTTCTGTATAGTAGTTTGTCACTGATGTTAGCTATGGTCTGTATACCTTGTACATGTACTTGTATAAATAAAGATATTATTATTAATAATCATTTTTCTTAAAGTTATTATATAATGATTAAATCTTTACAAAATAACAGACATTTCACAAAATATCTAAACAAAGTTTCTTGAATGTAGCTTTATTAGATTACTGGTAACTTGAATGCGGCCTTCCAACATAAAAAGTTCTCCAGTCCTGTCTATGCGCACATTGGTGGAGACGCGCACACTGTACACCCCCATCATGTACCACATGAAAGAACCTGCTATGTCATCCACTTGAGATTAGTCCCGCTTTCAGTATAGAAAAAAACTGTATCAAGTCAACTAGTAAACATTTACACTGGTTGACAACCCATCTTCAAATAGAGAACGTTAGGCTACCAGCGTATATACTGTGTTCCAGGCTGCCACACCTAAGATGCTTGTTTCCGCTATTTCCTTACTGGCGGTTGACTACAGACAACTCGAGGTACAGTACTCACTCTAATTTTTTCTTGTTTTTATATGCAACATTGTAGACATAAATTACAGCACAGCATATTTTGCAGACGATACTAGAATTTATACGAGAGTAACATCCACTGTGGACACCCCAAATCTTCAAGATAATAAACCAGGACTTCCAGTGGGCCACAGAAAACATCGTCAAGTTCAAGGACAAAAGTTCCAGTTACCTCGCTACGGAATGATTGAGGAAATAAAAGCTGGAATGACGTATAAACCAAATTCAAATTACCCAATAGAGTGGAATATTAGCGTGAGGGACTTGGGAATAATAATGTCATAAAATCTCGTATTCAAGGGTGACAACGACGTCACAAGATAGACTTAATAATTAGAAATTTACAAACATGAGATGCCATCCCAACCGTGAGGCCTATCATAGGCCAGTAGGCCTGCTGCAGTGTTATAAGCAAGTTTATTCAAGTATACACAAATACGGTTACATAGATTATCATACATATGTGTAGAGAACCTAGGAAAACACCCAAAAAGGTCAAAATGACTTATTTTCAATGGGGTCCTTAATATCTCTAGACTGGAATATTGATGTTAGGCAAAAGGGACACAAGTGCAACTAATGTGACATTTTATTGTGGCAACGTTTCGCTCTAGTCAATATAACAAGAGGTAATGTCTCGGTTTTTTTTGGGAACGAGCGTGGCCTTGAGCTTGATATAAAAATCATGAGGAAGCGCTAAACCTATAGGGACCTAACAGCGTGTGGGAATGGGAGATAATTATAATCAGAATTGCTCCATGGATGGGAAGGGTAGGTCCAGTTCCTTGAATCAAGAATCCTTGGCTAACATCAAAACACATTCCCTTGAAGGGTGGTTGCAAACGTAACTATACTCAAATATTCTTCACCTGAAAGGTGAGCAGGAAGATCGGAGATCAACATTAATTAGGGTGTAATTATCTCTCCAGTGCATAGTGGTGTGACCCTGAGGTCACCTTGTTCAAGGTGAAAATAACATAACCTCAAGTTATAATGTATTTTCTCTTGTGCTCTGACTTCCTTGTAAATTACACAATTAGTAAATCTATTGTTGTTAGCAGTCCGTAAGTCAAAACCGAGACCACAAGCACATGTATCAAGTGTCAAATATAAACCAGATGAGTTCAGTCTAGCAGCTGCAACTCAAAAATCTCGAGAATCAGGCAAGTTGTAGCTCACTTGGAGACCAAGGCACCATAACTGCAACCCACTCACCTAGCTCAAGTGGACACCAAGGTACCATAACCTCAACCCACCCACCTAGCTCAGGTGGAGACCAAGGCACCATAACTTCAACCCACTCACCTAGCTCAAGTGGACACCAAGGTACCATAACCTCAACCCACCCACCTAGCTCAAGTGGACACCAAGGTACCATAACCTCAACCCACCCACCTAGCTCAAGTGACCACCAAGGTACCATAACCTCAACCCACCCACCTAGCTCAAGTGGCCACCAAGGTACCATAACCTCAACCCACCCACCTAGCTCAAGTGAAGACCAAGGTACCATAACCTCAACCCACCCACCTAGCTCAAGTGGACACCAAGGCACAATAACCTCAACTCACCCACCTAGCTTAAGTGGACACCAAGGCACAATAAACTCAACCCACCCACCTATGAGAAGTCCAAGAACTTTAAAAGTCTTACACCTTAAAAAAAATCCCAGGAGCTGTGGATGAAAACCTCTAGAAAGCACAGGAGCTGTAGATCAACATTGAAAGGAGCCCAGGAGCTGAACTCAATCCATTTGAATACCATGAACATATGATCAATCACTCTCCAAAAATAGCTTATGTTTGTCCATAGAGTTTTTGTTACTATGACGGGTGTGACGTGGAGCTTAAGATCATTTTCTGTGGCAGTGAGTATTGTTGCTATATCACAGTGAGTATTGTTGCTATATCACAGTGAGTCTTGTTGCTGTATCACAGTGAGTCTTGTTGCTGTATCACAGTGAGTCTTGTTGCTGTATCACAGTGAATCTTGTTGCTGTATCACAGTGAGTCTTGTTGCTGTATCACAGTGAGTCTTGTTGCTGTATCACAGTGAGTCTTGTTGCTGTATCACAGTGAGTCTTGTTGCTGTATCACAGTGAATCTTGTTGCTGTATCACAGTGAGCCTTGTTGCTGTATCACTGAATCTTGTTGCTGTATCACAGTGAGACTTGTTGCTGTATCACAGTGAGTCTTGTTGCTGTATCACAGTGAGTATTGTTGCTGTATCACAGTGAGTCTTGTTGCTGTATCACAGTGAATCTTGTTGCTGTATCACACTGAATCTTGTTGCTGTATCACTGAATCTTGTTGCTGTATCACAGTGAGACTTATTGCTGTATCACAGTGAGTCTTGTTGCTGTATCACAGTGAGTCTTGTTGCTGTATCACAGTGAGTCTTGTTGCTGTATCACAGTGAGTCTTGTTGCTGTATCACAGTGAGACTTGTTGCTGTATCACGATCTGTTGCGTATCACATGAATCTTGTTGCTGTATCACAGTGAGTCTTGTTGCTGTATCACAGTGAGTCTTGTTGCTGTATCACAGTGAGTCTTGTTGCTGTATCACACTGAATCTTGTTGCTGTATCACACTGAATCTTGTTGCTGTATCGCACGGAATCTTGTTGCTGTATCACAGTGAGTCTTGTTGCTGTATCACAGTGAGTCTTGTTGCTGTATCACAGTGAGTCTTGTTGCTGTATCACAGTGAGTCTTGTTGCTGTATCACAGTGAGTCTTGTTGCTGAATCACAGTGAGCTTGTTGCTGTATCACAGTGAGGGTCTTTGTTGCTGTATCACAGTGAGTCTTGTTGCTGTATCACAGTGAGTCTTGTTGCTGTATCACAGTGAGTCTTGTTGCTGAATCACAGTGGATCGTTGTTGCTGATCACAGTGAGTCTTGTTGCTGAATCACAGTGAGTCTTGTTGCTGTATCACAGTGAGTCTTGTTGCTGTATCACAGTGAGTCTTGTTGCTGAATCACAGTGAGTCTTGTTGCTGAATCACAGTGAGTTGTTGCTGTATCACAGTGAGTTGTTGCTGTATCACAGTGAGTATTGTTGCTGAATCACAGTGAGTCTTGTTGCTGAATCACAGTGAGTCTTGTTGCTGAATCACAGTGAGTCTTGTTGCTGTATCACAGTGAGTCTTGTTGCTGTATCACAGTGAGTCTTGTTGCTGTATCATAGTACCTTATATCTGGAGAGAGTTCCGGGGGTCAACGCCCCCGCGGCCCGGTCTGTGACCAGGCCTCCTGGTGGATCAGAGCCTGATCAACCAGGCTGTTATTGCTGGCTGCACGCAAACCAACGTACGAGCCACAGCCCGGCTGATCAGGAACCGACTTTAGGTGCTTGTCCAGTGCCAGCTTGAAGACTGCCAGGGGTCTCTTGGTAATCCCCCTTATGTATGCTGGGAGGCAGCTGAACAGTCTCGGGCCCCTGACACTTATTGTATGGTCTCTTAACGTGCTAGTGACACCCCTGCTTTTCATTGGGGGGATGTTGCATCGTCTGCCAAGTCTTTTGTTTTCCTAGCGAGTGATTTTCGTGTGCAAGTTCGGTACTAGTCCGTCTAGGATTTTCCAGGTGTATATAATCATGTATCTCTCCCGCCTGCGTTCCAGGGAATACAGGTTTTAGGACCTCAAGCGCTCCCAGTAATTGAGGTGTTTTATCTCCGTTATGCGCGCCGTGAAGGTTCTCTGTACATTTTCTAGGTCAGCAATTTCACCTGCCTTGAAAGGTGCTGTTAGTGTGCAGCAATATTCCAGCCTAGATAGAACAAGTGACCTGAAGAGTGTCATCATGGGCTTGGCCTCCCTAGTTTTGAAGGTTCTCATTATCCATCCTGTCATTTTTCTAGCAGATGCGATTGATACAATGTTATGGTCCTTGAAGGTGAGATCATCCGACATGATCACTCCCAGGTCTTTGACGTTGGTGTTTCGCTCTATTTTGTGGCCAGAATTTGTTTTGTACTCTGATGATTTAATTTCCTCGTGTTTACCATATCTGAGTAATTGAAATTTCTCATCGTTGAACTTCATATTGTTTTCTGCAGCCCACTGAAAGATTTGGTTGATGTCCGCCTGGAGCCTTGCAGTGTCTGCAATGGAAGACACTGTCATGCAGATTCGGGTGTCATCTGCAAAGGAAGACACGGTGCTGTGGCTGACATCCTTGTCTATGTCGGATATGAGGATGAGGAACAAGATGGGAGCGAGTACTGTGCCTTGTGGAACAGAGCTTTTCACCGTAGCTGCCTCGGACTTTACTCTGTTGACTACTACTCTCTGTGTTCTGTTAGTGAGGAAATTATAGATCCATCGACCGACTTTTCCTGTTATTCCTTTAGCACGCATTTTGTGCGCTATTACGCCATGGTCACACTTGTCGAAGGCTTTTGCAAAGTCTGTATATATTACATCTGCATTCTTTTTGTCTTCTAGTGCATCTAGGACCTTGTCGTAGTGATCCAATAGTTGAGACAGACAGGAGCGACCTGTTCTAAACCCATGTTGCCCTGGCTTGTGTAACTGATGGGTTTCTAGATGGGTGGAGATCTTGCTTCTTAGGACCCTTTCAAAGATTTTTATGATATGGGATGTTAGTGCTATCGGTCTGTAGTTCTTTGCTGTTGCTTTACTGCCCCCTTTGTGGAGTGGGGCTATGTCTGTTGTTTTTAGTAACTGTGGGACGACCCCCGTGTCCATGCTCCCTCTCCATAGGATGGTAAAGGCTCGTGATAGGGGCTTCTTGCAGTTCTTGATGAACACGGAGTTCCATGAGTCTGGCCCTGGGGGAGAGTGCATGGGCATGTCATTTACCGCCTGTTCGAAGTCATTTGGCGTCAGGATAACATCGGATAGGCTTGTGTTAACCAAATTCTGTGGCTCTCTCATAAAAAATTAATTTTGATCTTCGACTCTCAGTCTGTCATATTGGGACTTAAGTAGCTCACTCATTTCCTTGCTGTCATCTGTGTAGGACCCATCTTGTTTAAGTAGGGGCCCAATACTGGACGTTGTTCTCGACTTTGATTTGGCATGAGAGAAGAAATACTTTGGGTTTCTTTCTATTTCATTTATGGCGTCTTGTTGCTGTATCACAGTGAGTCTTGTTGCTGTATCACAGTGAATCTTGTTGCTGTATCACAGTGAGTCTTGTTGCTGTATCACAGTGAGTATTGTTGCTGTATCACAGTGAGTATTGTTGCTGTATCACAGTGAGTATTGTTGCTGAATCACAGTGAGTCTTGTTGCTGTATCACAGTGAGTTTTGTTGCTGTATCACAGTGAATCTTGTTGCTGTATCACAGTGAGTTTTGTTGCTGTATCACAGTGAGTTTTGTTGCTGTATCACAGTGAGTCTTGTTGCTGTATCACACTGAATCTTGTTGCTGTATCACAGTGAATCTTGTTGCTGTATCACAGTGAATCTTGTTGCTGTATCACAGTGAGATTGTTGCTGTATCACAGTGAATCTTGTTGCTGTATCACAGTGAGATTGTTGCTGTATCACACTGAATCTTGTTGCTATATCACAGTGAGTATTGTTGCTGTATCACAGTGAATCTTGTTGCTGTATCACAGTGAGTTTTGTTGCTGTATCACAGTGAGTCTTGTTGCTGTATCACAGTGAATCTTGTTGCTGTATCACAGTGAGATTGTTGCTGTATCACAGTGAATCTTGTTGCTGTATCACAGTGAGATTGTTGCTGTATCACACTGAATCTTGTTGCTGTATCACAGTGAGTATTGTTGCTGTATCACACTGAATCTTGTTGCTGTATCACAGTGAGATTGTTGCTGTATCACAGTGAATCTTGTTGCTGTATCACAGTGAGATTGTTGCTGTATCACACTGAATCTTGTTGCTGTATCACAGTGAGATTGTTGCTGTATCACAGTGAGTATTGTTGCTGTATCACAGTGAGTCTTGTTGCTGTATCACAGTGAATCTTGTTGCTGTATCACAGTGAGTCTTGTTGCTGTATCACAGTGAGATTGTTGCTGTATCACAGTGAGATTGTTGCTGTATCACAGTGAGTCTTGTTGCTGTATCACAGTGAGTCTTGTTGCTGTATCACAGTGAGATTGTTGCTGTATCACAGTGAGTATTGTTGCTGTATCACAGTGAGTCTTGCTGCTGTATCACAGTGAATCTTGTTGCTGTATCACAGTGAGTCTTGTTGCTGTATCACAGTGAGTCTTGTTGCTGTATCACAGTGAGTCTTGTTGCTGTATCACAGTGAGTATTGTTGCTGTATCACAGTGAGCATTGTTGCTGTATCACAGTGAGTCTTGTTGCTGTATCACAGTGAGTCTTGTTGCTGTATCACAGTGAGTCTTGTTGCTGTATCACAGTGAGTATTATTGCTGTATCACAGTGAGTCTTGTTGCTGTATCACAGTGAGTATTGTTGCTGTATCACAGTGAGTCTTGTTGCTGTATCACAGTGAGCCATGTTGCTGTATCAGTGAGTCTTGTTGCTGTATCACAGTGAGTCTTGTTGCTGTATCACAGTGAGTATTATTGCTGTATCACAGTGAGTCTTGTTGCTGTATCACAGTGAGTATTGTTGCTGTATCACAGTGAGTCTTGTTGCTGTATCACAGTGAGCATTGTTGCTGTATCACAGTGAGTATTGTTGCTATATCACAGTGAGCATTGTTGCTGTATCACAGTGAGTATTGTTGCTGTATCACAGTGAGTATTGTTGCTATATCACAGTGAGTATTGTTGCTATATCACAGTGAGCATTGTTGCTGTATCACAGTGAGTATTGTTGCTGTATCACAGTGAGTCTTGTTGCTGTATCACAGTGAGTCTTGTTGCTGTATCACAGTGAGTATTGTTGCTATATCACAGTGAGCATTGTTGCTGTATCACAGTGAGTATTGTTGCTATATCACAGTGAGCATTGTTGCTGTATCACAGTGAGTATTGTTGCTATATCACAGTGAGCATTGTTGCTGTATCACAGTGAGTATTGTTGCTATATCACAGTGAGTATTGTTGCTGTATCACAGTGAGTCTTGTTGCTGTATCACAGTGAGTCTTGTTGCTGTATCACAGTGAGTATTGTTGTTGTATCACAGTGAGTCTTGTTGCTGTATCACAGTGAGTCTTGTTGCTGTATCACAGTGAGTCTTGTTGCTGTATCACAGTGAGTCTTGTTGCTGTATCACAGTGAGTATTGTTGTTGTATCACAGTGAGTCTTGTTGTTGTATCACAGTGAGTCTTGTTGCTGTATCACAGTGAGTCTTGTTGCTGTATCACAGTGAGTCTTGTTGCTGTATCACAGTGAGTCTTGTTGCTGTATCACAGTGAGTCTTGTTGCTGTATCACAGTGAGTCTTGTTGCTGTATCACAGTGAGTATTGTTGCTGTATCACAGTGAGTCTTGTTGCTGTATCACAGTGAGTCTTGTTGCTGTATCACAGAAACAAATAAACTCATCTAAATTTGTTCAGGTCATTTATTAGAGTATTAGGACTGAAGAACTCACTAATAAATGTCCTGAACTGTACATAAATGTCTTCTTCCACCTTTTGTCGGTATCACCAGACTATTTTTCACAAATGAATTAATAGAAGCCTTCATTACAACAAGGCTTTCGCTACAAGTGCCTTACCAAATTATACAGAAACATGTCAATTACTCTTTATATATACCATCTTGGTCCTGGGACCTTGTTTATACCTATAATAGAAAGAGTACAAGAAACAGCATATAAGGTCAAGCTGCATGTGAGTGAGGGGAGGTCAGGTCGAGAATAGAAGCAGTTAAGTTAGGCTGAAGCTGAGTGTCACCTGCTACTAGGCTGAGGGACTGATTACCTCAATTTTTGTCTCTTCAGTCTTCTGCATTTGTCCGTGTATAGTACTGATAAAGATACCGAATGGCGAATTATTATTATTAAAATCAAGGGTTAAACGCTAAACCCGGAGGATTATACAGCGCCTGGGGGGGATGTGGAAGGCATTCAGGCTTAATTCGGGGAACTGGAGCACAGATCCAATTCCCTAAATCAAGAGCCCCTCACCAACATCAAGGAACCTCCCTTGAGGGGTGGACTGAATGGCGAAACATCTACAAAATAAACATACCTAGATATTGCATACATGTCGATTTCTTTTACTGACCTATGGATGTTTAGGATATAGAACATTGTAAGTCTGTTGACCTATAGATACGTAGGAGAGTGAACACTAGGTCTACTGACCTATTGGTGTAGAAGGCTTGTAGGAGACCGGACGATTATCAGACACAACGTGGATGACGTGACCTCCAGGGTTTATCTTGTGAGCTGTGGTCACCTGGATCAGCAGGTCCATCATGGGTGTGCTGCAACACACGAACATTACCGCTATAATATACTTATAGAATACACTAACATTATATCAAACAATTTTTGTGCAACTTCATCAAACAACTGTGCTGCAACACATACACAAGTGTTGCACATTGGTTATGAAACAAAGAGTATTGTATCAAACTGTGCTGCAACACATACACAAGTGTTGCACATTGGTTATGAAACAAAGAGTATTGTATCAAACTGTGCTGCAATACAAACACTATCATAGAGAGGTTATGGAAGACAAACAACACTTAGATATTAAAATAATGCTGCAACACAAGCACCATAAGTGTCCATGAAGATCAAAGTCACAAGACCGTGACTGTTAAACTTCACTAATTAGCCACACTTAGGAGAGAAAACTTCTGACTACAGTGCGGTCCGTGCAAGACCATTATCAGATCACGACTGATAATGTTCCACGACTGTCAGAAACGACTATAGTTTCCTCTCCTAAGTGTAGGTTATTTGTGAACGACAGTTTCCAAAACTCTGCATAACGTTTGTCAGTAGTCAAGCAGCTAAAAGTTGACAACTTCGTGTAACTTAATTTTCTCTTTACAGCAATTTAAAGATCTGTAGAGTAAGTAAGTAAGTAAGTAAGTTTATTCAGGTCTTTGCCGGACGTTATTCTCAAATACAATCAGGTAATGTCTACCAAGATTTACCTGTCCACATCAAATATATGAATGAAAAAGAATTTGAGAGAGTACTGAGCCTTGAGAAACTGAGCGTTACAATGCTGAGGGTTCTGATCTTATATTGGCGATTGTTACACTTTTAGAACGATTTGTTTGAAAGCTTAAAGTTCCCTACCCACTCTTCTATATTTTTCTTCTTTTGCATGCAATTTGCGTGCTATACATCATGGTCAAACTTGTCAAAGGTTTTCGCAAGATGTGTAGATTACAATTGGAGTTTGTTTATCATCAAGTGTGTTGCAGTGGTACTTCAGTAACGACCCGCTGTACAACTATGTTGTCACGGGTTGTGTAAATGTTGTGGTTCCTTGTGTGTAGAAACCTTGCTTAACAAGAGTGCGGCTACCACCAACACTATTACTGATGAAGTTAAAAACCAGGCCGCGGGAGGCCGTGACCAAAATTAACTATTCTGATAATATGCAATTTCAGAGTTATTAGTCTATAGCTTTCTGCGACTGCTTATAGCTCTGTAGTTTTGCAGAAGGGCTATATCCGTGTTTTTGAGTGAGGGATGACACTGGTGACCAGTTTTTTTTTATTAACACATCGGCCGTCTCCCACCAAGGCAGGGTGGCCCGAAAAAGAAAAACTTTCATCATTCACTCCATCACTGTCTTGCCAGAGGCGCGCTTACACTACAGTTATAAAACTGCAACATTAACACCCGTCCTTCAGAGTGCAGACACTGTACTTCCCTGCCGGTTTCCCTGAATTCCTTCATATATGTTACCTTGATCACACTCCAGCAGCATGGGACTAGATGTCTACATAAAATATTTAAGGCATGTGACAGTTTTCCTGTGCATTATTTCTATGGAGCTTCCCGAGTCTGATCGTGGGGTCGAATGTTTGTGAGCTGACACTAGTTGGCTCCTCTTTACCTAAACTATGATGCACTACTTATAAGAGTAGTCTCTTCATCAACTAAACTACTAGTGTAGTCTCCTCTTCATCAACTAAACTACTAGTGTAGTCTCCTCTTCATCAACTAAACTACTAGTGTAGTCTCCTCTTCATCAACTAAACTACTAGTGTAGTCTCTTCATCAACTAAACTACTAGTGTAGTCTCCTCTTCATCAACTAAACTACTATTGTTCAAGTTTAACTGGCACACCAATGCAATTTGCATCGCGTTACCTGAAACTAATTGAGCTCAATGGCCAGCTTGTTAAGAGGAACGAGAGTATTGCCCTCAGCACACTCCTTTTTTCTCCATTTGAAAAGTTCACTTTCCAATGTGTTTGAAAACTTATACCAGACTTCCTTGTTTACTGTCTGGTCAACCACGCTGTTGGTGTTGGCAGCCCCCAGGCCTACATAGCCATCACAGCCTGTCTGATCACACCCCTACAGTAGCAGTGGTTCAGTTTCCTCTTCAAAACTTACAAGAAATATTATCGGAAAGAACGTATATGTGCTGGTTGAAGTCTGAAGCCACGGATATTGACACTATGTTTTCGTATTGTGTCCACAGCGCCCCTGGATTTATTTTACACTTCTTCCTATATCATTCACTCCAGTAAGTTATGACAGTGAAGAGTATCATAACAGTGCGTCAACGTTTCGAACATTCCTTCCACACAGGATCTAGATGTATAATGAATTATGGGTATAAAAATAAATTTAATTACTGAGAATAAATTGCCATGTATTTAATGTGTAAGGCTTTTTTAATTAAACAGACAGGCAGACAGACAGGTAGGCAGACAGGTAAGCAAGCAAGCACTCAGGCAGGCAGACAGGCGGGCAAGCAGGCACTCAGGCATACAGACAGGCACTCAGGCAGGCACTCAGGCAGGCAGACAGGAGGGCAAGCAGGCACTCAGGCAGGCAGACAGGCAGGCAGACAGGCAGGCACTCAGGCAGACAGACAGGCAGGCACTCAGGCAGGCAGACAAGCAGGCAGGCAAGCAGGCACTTAGGCAGGCAGTCAGGCAGGCAAGCAGGCACTCAAGCAAACAGGCAGGCAGACAGGCAGGCAAGCAGGCACTCAGGCAGGCAGACAGGCAGGCAAGCAGGCACTCAGGCAGACAGGCAGGCAGACAGGCAGGCAAGCAGGCATTCAGGCAGACAGGCAGGCAAGAAGGCACTCAGGCAGACAGGCAGGCAGACAGGCAGGCAAGCAGGCACTCAGGCAGACAGACAGACAGGCAGGCAGAGCAGGCACTCAGGCACACAGGCAGGCAAGCAGGCACTCAGGCAGACAGGCAGGCAAGCAGGCAGACAGACAGGCAGGCACTCAGGCAGACAGTTAGTCAAGCAGGCACTCAGGCAGGCAGACAGGCAGGCAAGCAGGCACTCAGGCAGGCAGACAGGCAGGCAGGCAAGCAGGCACTCAGGCAGACAGGCAGGCACTCAGACAGGCAAGCAGGCACTCAGGCAGGCAGACAGGCAGGCACTCAGGCAGACAGGCAGGCAGACAGGCAGGCACTCAGACAGACAGGCAGACAGACAGGCAGGCAGGCAGACAGGCAGGCAGACAGACAGACAGGCACTCAGGCAGGCAGGCACTCAGGCAGACAGGCAGGCACTCAGGCAGACAGACAGGCAGACAGGCAGGCACTCATACAGACAGGCAGACAGACAGGCAGACAGGCAGACAGACAGACAGGCAGGCACTCAGGCAGACAGACAGGCACTCAGGCAGGCAGGCACTCAGGCAGACAGACAGGCACTCAGGCAGACAGACAGGCACTCAAGCAGACAGACAGACACTCAGACAATCTTTTAAGTGATATGTGTGTTATTTCATGGTTATTAAAGGTCTTCTGTTGATAATAACAATTAAGGCATTAGTAAATAAGAATATTTTAAGTGTGAGTTAAGAACATATATGGCAGCAAGGTAGCTTTTACAAGTCAGATATATAAGTGTGAGTTAAGAACATATATGGTAGCAAGGTAGCTTTTACAAGTCAGATATATAAGTGTGAGTTAAGAACATATATGGCAGCAAGGTAGCTTTTACAAGTCAGATATATAAGTGTGAGTTAAGAACAAGTTTCTGCTAGCTTAGTGTATATATTTACAAGTTCACAGAGTATTATAAGTTTTAGAAAGAGGTTTTTTCTAGGTAGGCCTGGCCTTAGAGCGGGCCGCGGGGGCGGTGACCCCCAGAAGTAACCCCAGGTAAACTCCAGGGTGCTTTTATAAGTGTCAACCTTGATATTATCAGAGGATATGTAACTTGTCAATCGTCCAAGTCAAATGGAAATGTCGTAAATTTCTCCTATGTGCGGGTTGTGTATTGTTCCAGTCATGGTATTGTGACTTTGTTATTTAATATGTTGTTTATTAGCTAAGATATATTCCCTACAGTTAAGATTATCTTTTCAAAGCTTTATATTTTTTACTGGTAAGTTTTAGCTAAAAATTCTTTCAGCTGTCTGGAGAAACTTATTTTCTGTACTGAAATTATATTACTCTTAAAATTCTAGTTACACAATATTTAACAGTTATAGGAAGGTAAGTGTGTGTAGCAGTAACTTATGTATGTTCAGTGGTACCGGCCATCCTGCCGGCTGTTAATGGCTGGCTAGAGGCTGGCTTGGAGCTGGCTTGGAGCTGGCTAGGGGCTGGCTAGGGGCTGACTAGGGACTGGCTAGGGGCTGGCTAGGGGCTGGCTAGGGACGAGGCTATACAACAGACTATTAAGGCCAATTTGGTGTAAGTAGTCCAAAGTTGTCACAGTGTGAATGTCCTCCTGGTAATGTCCTCCTGGTAATGTCCTCCTGGTAATGTCCTGGTAATGTCCTCCTGGTAATGTCCTCCTGGTAATGTCCTGGTAATGTCCTCCTGGTAATGTCCTCCTGGTAATGTCCTCCTGGTAATGTCCTCCTGGTAATGTCCTGGTAATGTCCTCCTGGTAATGTCCTCCTGGTAATGTCCTCCTGGTAATGTCCTGGTAATGTCCTCCTGGTAATGTCCTGGTAATGTCCTCCTGGTAATGTCCTCCTGGTAATGTCCTGGTAATGTCCTCCTGGTAATGTCCTGGTAATGTCCTCCTGGTAATGTCCTACGCTTTGCCGACCTGCTGTAAGGCTCTGGATCCAAGGAATTGTAGCTAACCTCCCCTTCCTCGAATCAAACTTAATTACATCCCAATATATTATACTATTATGTTAACAGATTTTTGCCGTATTAAGGATTTATACAGTCAAGGGGAAGCGTTAAACCCGTAGGTGTCATACAGTGCCTAGGGTATGAGAGGTAATTAGATTTGATCCAAGGGTGGAGATAGCTCAAATTCCTTGAATCAAAAGCCCTTCGCCAGCATCAACTTTTTTTTTCCTTCAAAGTGAGGTTTTAGTCAAGGTTCGTGAGCACCTTAGTGGTGCTGTGACTATAATGTAGCAGTCAGCAGTGTGTGCACCATTATATGCACACTGTGCGTGCATCATTATATGAAGTATGTTCACCATTATATGCACACGGTGTGCACCATTATATGAAGTATGTGCACCATTATATGCACACTGTGCATGCACCATTATATGAAGTATGTGCACCATTATATGCACACAATGCGTGCACCATTATATGACGTATGTGCACCATTATATGCACACTGTGTGCACCATTATATGCAAGTAGTGTCGCGCACCATTATATGCAGTGTGTGCACATTGCACACACATATGCACATTGTGCGCACCATTATATGCACACTATGTGCACCATTATATGCACACTGTGTGCACCATTATATGCACACTGTGTGCACCATTATATGCACACTGTGTGCACCATTATATGCACACTGTGTGCACCATTATATGCACACTGAGTGTGCACCATTATATACAAACAGTGCGTCGTGCACAGTGGAAATAAGTCACTTAGACTTGTTATGGGTTATCCAGGTAATTTACACTGTGTATAATAACTTACATATATCTGTAACTAAATAAACTTATGCTGTTCTTTCCCAGGCTGAGCTGTCAGACTACAGCTCTGGACACCTATCACAGGCATGACACAGTTATGTTACAACACCAGACATAACTAGATTGCTATGTTTGACAACACAAGTGATTAATCACAGACTGGTGGTGTTATGAGAGTGAAGGCTGCCAGGGTGTTGACCATCGCAACACAACGTTCTTACAACTTCATACACCAACTAGTCAATAGTTATTAACCATTGATAAAATACAGTTTCTCTACTCCCGGAGGCCGGCCCTAGACCAGGCTTGTCTGGTGCTTGCTGGAGCCCAGCCCTAGACCAGGCTTGTTTGGTGCTTGTTGGAGCCCGGCCCTAGACCAGGCTTGTCTGGTGCTTGCTGGTAAGGTAAAGCTGTTGCTGCTGCTGGCCGCCCAGAGGGGTCATAAAGCAACTGGAGAATATTAAGTAATCAAATATAATCCGAAGAGGATAAAGATAACTCCAACTGCACGTATGAAGGGAGAAGAATGCATGCAAGTAGTGAACACCATTAGTGTGTGAAGTAAGCAGCACAGACATACACACACACACACACACACACACACACACACACACACACAAGCAGCACACAGAACAATCATACCTAACAAAATATAACCAATGCATATCCAGTTACATTCACCAGACTTGTCCTCATTCACTGACTACAACTGGTGCTTGTCTGCACCTTCACCAGTTCCAGGAGCGACCTCGGTATTTTTGTATCGTGGTAACCAGTTGGAGACTTGTTTTGAAGCAATGTTGTTATTATTATTATTTATTTGGGTGGGAGGGGGTTGAAGCCCCCTGCCATCTCCATCTCCCTGGTGCCGCCACTCTCTAGCTCAGCAGTTCCCGCCAACTTATTAAAAGGAACTGCTAATGTGCGAGAATATTACGGTCTAGAGAGAACAATTGACTTCAGCTTCACATCTCTTGTCTTGAAAGTCCTAGTTATCTAGCCAATCAGATTGCTTGCTTTTGTGATAGCAACACTGTTGTGATTCTTGCCCATCAGATCTGACATCCTCATTCAGTAAGCTCTGATATCCTCACTCAGTAAGCGCTGACATCCTCATTCAGTAAGCGCTGACATCCTCATTCAGTAAGCGCTGACATCCTCACTCAGTAAGCGCTGACATCCTCACTTAGAACTCCCTCTCATGCCTATATAGCTTCAGTTAGAGATTTATTCCGTTCCAGTTTATAATTCTTCATAATTCTGAGTAATGAAACTTGTCTTCATTAAACATCTTACTGTAACTCAACTGTGTAAAACAATTCTTGTAATACAGATTACAACGTGAAGTTAGCAGCATTAACCTTCTTCTATGTGTACTAACCTCTACTTAAGTGTAAACACTATACCGACCTTTGACAAAGGCATATATTTGCTCTGGTGAGGAAGATTTGTTAAGAATGTGACGTATGTATTGGTTGCTGGTGATGCTACTCTCTCTCTCTCTCTCTCTCTCTCTCTCTCTCTCTCTCTCTCTCTCTCTCTCTCCCTCAGGGTCTTGACAGACCTTGCACCTTCTCTCAATACTTAACCTACTTTCATTAAATATCTAATGGTGTTAGTAAGAAAGGGCTTCCTGGCAGAGGTGACATAAATGTTGGAATTCTATCACCATAATATACAGTATCTGCAGTCTATGTTCACTTCCCTAACACCTCTTATTCTCATTATGAACTGTGAAGAAAAAATCTAGGATAGAAAAGTCACAGTTAATGACATGTCATAAAAGTGGGATTCTATACATACATATATATATATATATATATATATATATATATGTGTGTGTGTGTGTGTGTGTGTGTGTGTGTGTGTGTGTGTGTGCGCGCGCAAAACAACCACTATGAAAGAATAGAGAAATTCCAAGAGCTTTCGTGACTACTCCATTGATAATGTGAGTAGTCACGAAAGCGCTTGGAATTTCTCTATTCTTTCACAGCGGTTGTTTTGCATATTCTGAAATCACCTGTTTACTGTGATCTTATTGCATATATATATATATATAGATATATATATATATATATATATATATATATATATATATATATATATATATATATATATATATATTTATATATATATTATATATATATAATATATATATATATATGTCGTGCCGAATATGTAAAACTGGTCAATTAGCAAGAACTCATTTAAAATTAAGTCCATTCCAAAATTTTCTCTTATACGTTGAAAGATATATTTTTTTCATTAACGTTAATGTAATTTTTTTTAATTTTGCACCAAAAGGAACTTAGAAAACTTACCTAACCTTGTTATAACAAGAGCAATTTATTTTAGCCTAACCCAACTAAATATATTTTTGATTTGTTTACAGTAATTTAATACTAAACAAACACAATAAAACATATTTTTTTCGTTAGGTTCAGAATGATTTTGGCGAAATTATTGCATACACAAATTTTCGTTTGTCTTATATGGCAAGATGAGCGTTGCTATTTAAGCCAAGATCGCAAATTCTGCCTATTCGGCACGACATATACATATATGTCGTGCCGAATAGGCAGAACTTGCGATCTTGGCTTAAATAGCAACGCTCATCTTGTCATATAGGACAAGTGAAAATTTGTGTATGCAATAATTACGCCAAAATCATTCTGAACCTAACTAAAAAAAAAATTTCACTGTGTTTAGTATTAAATTACTATAAACAAATCTAAAATATATTAAGTTGGGTTAGGGTAAAATAAATTGTTCTTGTTATAATAAGGTTAAGTAAGTTTTCTAAGATTCTTTTGGAGCAAAATTAAAAATGTTTACATTAACATCAATGAAAAAAATATATCTTTAAACGTATATTAGAAAATTTTAGAAATGACTTAATTTTAAATGAGTTCTTGCTAATTGACCAGTTTTACATATTCGGCACGACATTATATATATAATATATATATATATATATATATATATATATATATATATATATATATATATATATATATATAGTCACTATGCGGAAGCGGAAAAGAATTCTTCCTCCGTAAACCATGCGTGTCTAAAAGGCGACTAAAATGCCGGGAGCAAAGGGCTATTAACCCTTTCTCCTGTATAAATTACTAAATTTAAAAAGACTGCTTATTCAGGTCACCCTGCATCGGTGGGATACGGCCGGTTCCCTGAAATATATATATACATACACACAAGAAAACTCGTAATGAATGTCGTTGCAGAGGTCGAGTCACAGCTCCTGCCCCAGTGTGTGTGTGTGTGTGTGTGTGTGTGTGTGTGTGTGTGTGTGTGTGTGTGTGTGTGTGTGTGTGTGTGTGTGTGTGTGTGTGTGTGTGTGTGCGTGCGTGCGTGCACTAACCTTCTGTGGACGGACATATTGACCTTGTGACCTGCAGGAAGGATGACTGTGAGGTCCATGGTGCCCTCCAGCAGGTCAGCTGGAGTGTCCTCCGTCACGTGACGGGAAGACATGGCTGAGGTAGAGGCAAACTGCCTCAGTGGAGGAGGTGCCATGATGCGGTCAGCCCACGACACCCTATAAACAAACACAGACTAACATTAATATAGTGTAACACCGTGAGTTAGGAGGGCTATCAAAGGTTATCCCCTGGATAGCAATGAAAATGGGTTGGGCATATATTTTTGTTAGTGGGTTTGGGTTGGAGAAGAACCTTCCTAGTGTGGGCCAGTAGGCCTGCTGCAGTGCTCCTCGAGTCTTATGTTCTTATAAAAAGCAAGAAGACATGGCATAATAACAGAGCACCATACAAATATCCGAAGCAAAAAAGCATTTCAACCTACTACTTGCAATGTCACAAATATTGATGGAACAACAGTTTCAGTACACAAACAACCCGCATATATGATGAGTGGTTTTGAAAACCGAGAAATTGAAGAACTGAGACACTTATGCCACTGGTTGGCGAAACGTTTCCACAATAAAGATACCCAAGAGTCTCATTCATCATTCTATTGATAAATGGTTCAGAGAACCATTTATCAACTTTCGTATTTGATTATATACATTGATGTTCGCTATAATTTATCAAATTAATGCTTGATACTAAGTGGGTTCAATGTAACCTTTTTTTTCAGTAGTTTCTAGCTTTAATATATTCAAGTACATTGTGGCAACACTATGTTAAGCAACACAGACTGGTTGAAATGTTGCAACTATCAATTAGAGTTTTATATTTTTTATTCACAGAAAGTAGAGTGGAACTCAGCACATCTTCTTGTACAAACAACAGTCAATGTTTTATAATATTGCTGACACTTGTTGGTGGCTGACTCACTCGAATGACCTGTGCTAGTTGACTACACTGACCTTATATACACTGTGCTAGTTGACTACACTGACCTTATATACACTGTGATAGTTGACTACACTGACCTTATATACACTGTGCTAGTTGACTACACTGACCTTATATACACTGTGCTAGTTGACTACACTGACCTTATATACACTGTGATAGTTGACTACACTGACCTTATATACACTGTGCTAGTTGACTACACTGACCTTATATACACTGTGCTAGTTGACTACACTGACCTTATATACACTGTGCTAGTTGACTACACTGACCTTATATACACTGTGCTAGTTGACTACACTGACCTTATATACACTGTGCTAGTTGACTACACTGACCTTATATACACTATGCTAGTTGACTATCTACACTGACCTTATATACACTGTGCTAGTTGACTACACTGACCTTATATACACTATGCTAGTTGACTATCTACACTGACCTTATATACACTATGCTAGTTGACTACACTGACCTTATATACACTATGCTAGTTGACTACACTGACCTTATATACACTATGCTAGTTGACTATCTACACTGACCTTATATACACTGTGCTAGTTGACTACACTGACCTTATATACACTAAGCTAGTTGACTATCTACACTGACCTTATATACACTATGCTAGTTGACTATCTACACTGACCTTATATACACTATGCTAGTTGACTACACTGACCTTATATACACTGTGCTAGTTGACTACACTGACCTTATATACACTATGCTAGTTGACTATCTACACTGACCTTATACACATTATACTAGTTGACTACACTGACCTTATACACACTATGCTAGTTGACTACACTGACCTTATACACACTATGTTAGTTGGCTATCTACACTGACCTTATACACACTATGCTAGTTGACTACACTGACCTTATACACACTATACTAGTTGACTATCTACACTGACCCTATACACACTATACTAGTTGACTATCTACACTGACCTTATACACACTATGCTAGTTGACTATCTAAACTGACCTTATACACACTATGCTAGTTGACTATCTACACTGACCTTATACACACTCTACTAGTTGGCTATCTACACTGACCTTATACACACTCTACTAGTTGCCTACACTGACCTTATACACACTATGCTAGTTGACTATCTACACTGACCTTATACACACTATGCTAGTTGACTATCTACACTGACCTTATACACACTATGCTAGTTGACTATCTACACTGACCTTATACACACTATGCTAGTTGACTATCTACACTGACCTTATACACCCCTATGCCTAGTTGACTATCTACACGACCTTAACACACTATGCTAGTTGACTATCTAAACTGACCTTATAGACACTATGCTAGTTGACTATCTAAACTGACCTTATACACACTATGCTACTTGACTACACTGACCTTATACACACCAAAACCCTCTCCAGGTAAACTATACTAGTTGATTACACTGACCTTATACACACTATGCTAGTTGACTATCTAAACTGACCTTATACACACTATGCTAGTTGGCTATCTTCACTAACCTTATACACACTATGATAGTTGACTATCTACACTGACCTTATACACACTATGATAGTTGACTATCTACACTGACCTTACACACACCAACACACTGAGTGAACGTACCACCAGAAAAATAGTACTAAGAAGCGGCACTCATTCTGTGAGTGAATACAGTAGTGTACAGTGTCATTCATCCTGTGAGTGAACACAGTATTGTACAGTGTTATTCATCCTGTAAGTGAACACAGTACTGTACAGTGCCATTCATCCTGTGAGTGAACATAGTATTGTACAGTGTTATTCATCCTGTAAGTGAACACAGTACTGTACAGTGCCATTCATCCTGTGAGTGAACACAGTATCAAGAAGACAGTATACAGGTACATACCAGTTAACTACTGTTGATTGTTCCAGGGGTTACTGTTACCCCCGCGGTCTGGTCCTAGACCATGCCTCCTGGTTGTCTATCTTAAGTCAGATTACTGGTGGTGGCAGAACATGACCACTGCACCATGGCTGCTTAAGCACTGCCATCGCTTTGCAACATTCATGCATTACCACCTTCACAAATTATCATGTGATTAAACAGAAGAGTTGCAGGTGTGTGGGAGGTGTTGTGTGCAACTCAACATCAAGGTCGTTTACACATGTGTTGCAGGAGGTACAAACCTGGTGGGCAAACCATCAAGATCATTTACGTGTTTCAGGAGGTACAAGCCTGGAGGTAGTGTGCAACACAACATCAAGATCCTTTACACATGTGTTGCAGGAGGTACAAGCCTAGAGGTAGTGTGCGACACAACATCAAGGTCATTTACACGTGTTGCAGGAGGTACAAGCCTAGGGGTAGTGTGCAACACAACATCAGGGTCATTTACACGTGTTGCAGGAGGTAAAAAGCCAGAGGGATGTTGCAACACAACATCAGGGGCATTTACACGTGTTTTCAGGAGGTACAAGCCTAGAGGTATGTGCGACACAACATCAAGGTCATTTACACGTGTTGCAGGAGGTACAAGCCTAGAGGTAGTGTGCAACACAACATCAGGGTCATTTACACGTGTTGCAGGAGGTACAAGCCTAGAGGTAGTGTGCAACACAACATCAGGGTCATTTACACGTGTTGCAGGAGGTACAAGCCTAGAGGTAGTGTGCAACACAACATCAGGGTCATTTACACGTGTTTGCAGGGGGTACAAGCCTAGAGGTAGTGTGCAACACAACATCCAGGTTATTTACACCGTTGGGAGGAGGGACAAGCCTAGAGGTAGTGTGCAACACAACATCAAGGTCATTTACACGTGTTGCAGGAGGTACAAGCCTAGAGGTAGTGTGCAACACAACATCAAGGTCATTTACACGTGTTGCAGGAGGTACAAGCCTAGAGGGATGTGCAACACAACATCAGGGTCATTTACACGTGTTGCAGGAGGTACAAGCCTAGAGGTAGTGTGCAACACAACATCAGGGTCATTTACACGTGTTGCAGGAGGTACAAGCGTAGAGGTAGTGTGCAACACAACATCAAGGTCATTTACACGTGTTGCAGGAGGTACAAGCCTAGAGGTAGTGTGCAACACAACATCAAGGTCATTTACACGTGTTGCAGGAGGTACAAGCGTAGAGGTAGTGTGCAACACAACATCAAGGTCATTTACACGTGTTGCAGGAGGTACAAGCCTAGAGGTAGTGTGCAACACAACATCAAGGTCATTTACATAAGCTCAGACAGCAGTGTTAATATGTTGTTCAACATGACGTGTTTGTCTCAGACATCAGCTCCAGCAACCTGCTGCTGGTCTCAGACATCAGCTCCAGCAACCTGCTGCTTGTCTCAGACATCAGCTCCAGCAACCTGCTGCTTGTCTCAGACATCAGCTCCAGCAACCTGCTGCTTGTCTCAGACATCAGCTCCAGCAACCTGCTGTTTGTCTCAGACATCAGCTCCAGCAACCTGCTGCTTGTCTCAGACATCAGCTCCAGTAACCTGCTGCTTGTCTCAGACATCAGCTCCAGTAACCTGCTGCTTGTCTCAGACATCAGCTCCAGCAACCTGCTGCTTGTCTCAGACATCAGCTCCAACAACCTGCTGTTTGTCTCAGACATCAGCTCCAGCAACCTGCTGCTTGTCTCACACATCAGCTCCAGCAACCTGCTGCTTGTCTCAGACATCAGCTCCAGCAACCTGCTGCTTGTCTCAGACATCACTCCAGCAACCTGCTGCTTGTCTCAGACATCAGCTCCACAACCTGCTGCTTGTCTCAGACATCAGCTCCAGCAACCTGCTACTTGTCTCAGACATCAGCTCCAGCAACCTGCTGCTTGTCTCAGACATCAGCTCCAGTAACCAGCTGCTTGTCTCAGACATCAGCTCCAACAACCTGCTGCTTGTCTCAGACATCAGCTCCAGCAACCTGCTGCTTGTCTCAGACATCAGCTCCAGCAAACCTGCTGCTTGTCTCAGACATCAGCTCCAGCAACCTGCTGCTTGTCTCAGACATCAGCTCCAGCAACCTGCTGCTTGTCTCAGACATCAGCTCCAGCAACCTGCTGCTTGTCTCAGACATGAGCTCCAGCAACCTGCTGCTTGTCTCAGACATCAGCTCCAGCAACCTGCTGCTTGTCTCAGACATCAGCTCCAGCAACCTGCTGCTTGTCTCAGACATCAGCTCCAGAAACCTGCTACTTGTCTCAGACATCA